AGACATATGAAGCTGGGTGCCGGAGAGACGGAAAAGCTCCCGCCAGAAGCTGCTGGTGAACGTGCGATCACGGTCACTGACGATGGACCGCGGAGGGTCGGGCAACTTGAGAACACCAGCCAAGAAGGCATCTGCCACGGACCTAGCGGTGTAGGGATGGGATAGGGGAATAAAGTGTCCCACCTTGCTGAAACGGTCAACGACAACGAGAATAACGGTCTTTCCACCGGAGGAATGCAGGCTGTCAATGAAGTCCATCGAGATGTCGGGCCAGACCTGTGTGGGAATAGGGAGAGGCTGGAGGAGACCCGCCGGGGCGAGCGATTGAGATTTCGCCCGTTGACACACATCGCAAGCTTGAACAAACCTCTTCACATCTTCCAACATTGAGGGCCAATAGAAATGGGACGCCAAACGCTTGTAAGTTCATTCTACGCCAGAGTGACCGCTCATTGGCATTGTGTGGAACTCATGGAGCAATTGGGCGACGTGGGAGGATTTGGGGGAATCACAATTTTGCCTCTCCGTAGCAGCATATTGTTGCGAAGGGAAAAAGAGCCAGGGTTGGAAGATAATGCACGCTGCCGATTGGTTATCATATATGGATGTGTTTCTGTCGTGCTTGTGATGGAATCCCAGAGAGCCGCGTAAGGAAAGGAAATGGCAGCGAGCTCCATGGGTTCTTGGCGGCGATGGCTAAGGGCATCAGCGGCCTTGTTCTCCGCGCCCGGTTTGTAGATGATGTCATAGTCGAAGCCCAGCAATTTGGAGATCCAATGTTGCTGCTCCGGGGTTGTAATACGTTGGTCCAAGAGGTGACGAAGGGCCTTGCGATCGGTGCGGATAATGAATTTTCGGCCCAAAAGATAGGGACGCCAAGACCGAACAGCTTGACCACTGCAAGCATCTCTCGGGCATACATCGAGAGTCCCTCCTTTGCCTTACCTAGCCCACTACTAAGGAACGCAATGGTTCGCTCTTGTTGCATCAATACGGCGCCGAGGCCGGATCCAGACGCATCCGTCTCAACCAGAATGGTTGGGTGAAATCAAGTAATGCTAGAACTGGCGTGGTAGTCATGGCGGTCTTCAGAGCTTTGAACGCCAATTCGACTTCAGCATTCCAGGAGAATTGACCCTTCAGAAGGAGATTAGTAAGGGGTCGGGCAATGATCCCATAGTGGCGAACGAATTTGCGATAGTACACGGTGAGGCCGAGGAAACCGCGCAGCTCTGCGCTAGAAGTGGGTGTCGGCCACTCGAGCATGGTGTTGATTTTACGAGGGTCAACTTTGACACCGGCAGTAGAGATGAAATGCCCCAAGTATTCGATTTCAGACATGCCAAAGGAACACTTGTTGAATTTGATGAAGAACCGGTGTTGGCACAGGATTTGGAATACGCGACGAACATGTGCGAGGTGGGATTCATTGTTGGGGCTGTAGATGAGGATGTCGTCAAAAAATACCAGCACCGACTTATGAAGAAGGGGCCGGAATATCTCATTCATGATCGCCTGAAAAGTGGAAGGTACGTTACAGAGACCGAAAGGCATCACATTGTGAGTGCGAAAGGCAGTCTTATGGACATCGGCGGCATTCATTCACACTTGGTGATATCCGGCGCGTAGGTTGAGCTTCGTGAAGTGGGCGGCGCCATGGAGCTCATCTAACATGTCGTCAACCGTCGGAATCGGGAAGCGATCCTTAATGGTGACGAGATTCAGAGCTTGATAATCCGTACAAAATCTCCAGGAGCCGTCCTTTTTCTTGACAAGGAGCACTGGGGAAGAGAATGGGTTGGTGCTGGGTTGGATCAACCCGGCTGCGAGCATGTGATTCACTTGAGTTTCAATCTCCGACTTTTGAAACTGAGCATAGCGATAAGGCCGCACATTGACAACCTAGACGTCTGATTTCAAGGGAATTTTGCGATCGATGGCTCGTTGTAGAGGAAGTTGGTGCGGCTCTTCGAAGAGATCGCCAAATTCTCGTATGAGCGCGTGTAGCGCCGGCGGCACGCGTTGAAGTGGATCACTAGGCATTGGAGAGAAACAGAGGGCCATTATGGTGTGGTCTTCTTTGAGAAAAATCTCAAGGCTTGCTGCTTGAGGAAGGGTTCGCTTGATTCCGTGGATTTTCCGCAGCTGACCATCCCAAACAAATTCCATTTCTAGAGTATGCCAATTGCTCTGGAGAGTCCCCAAGGTAGCAAGCCATTGTACCCCAAGAACAATATCAAAACCAGACATGGGTATGGTATGGAGATTGACCTCAAAATTTGCGCCTTGAATACATGGAGGGACTCGGTCGAGATTTCCTGAGCACATGGGTCGACCGTCGGCGATTCAAACCTGAAGCGCCGGAATTGGTGTCACGGGAAGATGGAGTAGTTCGGCCAAGCGGGTGCTAATGAAATTATGGGTAGATCTACTGTCGATGAGCACCATCAGTCGGACCCCCTTGACCTCGGCCCAGACCCGAAGAGTCCGGCCACTAGCCCAGCTTGTTATCGCATTGAATGACAATTCAGCCTCGTTTAGGTCATCCTCATCGTCGTCACCCCACATCATCTAGAGTTCCCCCCCCCCCCCCCCCCCCCCCCCCCCCCCCCCCCGTGGCAGCTATGGATGGCCGAGTATGGGGCATCACAGTTGAAACAAAGGCCTAGTTGACGGCGGCGGTGCATCTCCTCGTAGCTCAATCTCTTGGAGTCTGGTGGGCGTTGGCGCGGATTTGTGTTAGGCGGTGGTGGGTTGGGATCGCCGGCCGTCATAACAGGTGGGCGAGGGCGTGGTTGAAAAGAGGCTTCAAAGGTAGGCCTCGGTTTGGGTCATGGGGGAGTGGTATAATCCATATCTGATCGATAAGGCTGTTGTGGCTGACTGTTGTGGCGGCGTAATTGCTCGTCGCGTGCCTGAGCAAGACTAATAGCATCTTTCAGAGTCTACGGATTAAAAATCTGGATCCCATCGGAAATGGTGAAGTGGAGGCCTCCCAAGAAGGTCCCTACGAGTGCTTGCTGAGTGATAACGATGTAATTGCACATGTTTGCACCCCTAGTTCTTATCCGTTTGTGGGGCATAGTCGTGTATATTTTGCCTATTTTACGCCGGGTTGTGCTACTTTGTCATATGTCAGGTCCCGGACGTCGAAGGAAAGGCTAAGCACGAGTTTCGGGGCATTTGGAAGTCATTCGGTCGAGCTGGGGCCAAAACACGGGTTGGCCTAAACCAAAGCACGGCAGTGTTCCTGGACCATGCTTTTACTGCCGAGGCTTGATCCAAGATTGTCCTGCGCTGGCCCAAAACACGGGCGAGACTGACTCAAAACACGGTCGTGTCCAAATTTAGGCACGACCGTGTTTTTAACACGTGGCAAGGGCACGGGCGGGCAAGAGCAAATCACGGCCGTGCCCTCGACCCTGTTTTGCCTAGGGTTGGCCTTTTAGGCGGATTTGAGCCAAAGGAGAAGGAGTTCCGAGTTTTAGAGAGACAGAGCGATTCCTAGAGAGAGAAAGCGACGAACCAGAGTTCCCAAGTGCCCTAGCTTGATCTTCATCACCATTGGAGCTCGGCTCACACTTGGAGAAGTGCCGATTGACGACCAGGAGCAGAAACCCATCCTTCACAGTATGGTTTCTGCATCTGAATCTGCTTTTGCTTCTCTTTCCATGGAGTAGTTTTCCCATTCATTTGGGTATGGAGAACCCTAGATTTGTATGTTAGGTCTGATTGTATGAACCCAAGTACAGATTTTATGATTTGATTATATTCAATTGAGGCTTGAATGACTTGAATCCTGATCAAATTCCTGTTATTTCTGCTTTAGAGTAGAAAGAGAATATCTACTTAGGTTAATAGAGCACCCTTAATTGAAGGTAGTGAATTGGCGACTTTAGTCGAGGAGCCAATTCACTATTCTGTACCGAATTTACTTCGGTAGTGGAGGTTTGGTTCGTTAGGGCCTCAATCTGTTTACTCTGGTGGAGGTTAGTCGCCCGCTGGGGACTCAGATTGAGAGGGTCTGGAGACCTTTAGTCGAGACTTCAGACTGCTTAAGAACCTCCCGCAGTATAACTATTATTTAAACTGAACTTGGTAAATTACAATCCGGTTTAACTGCAGTCTAGGGGGGACCATATCCGGGTGACCTCTCTCGACTTGAAACAACCTTCTTGCTTGCTTTAATTGTTTGCTTGTTTGAACTTGCACTAAAGTTTCACCGCTAAATAATAAGAATTCGCTGAGTAGTCATCACATCTAGGACTCGGGTTGACACTAAAACCCAAACCCGCTATACTACGCTTTAGGAAGTGGTTACACTTGGCCATTTTCTAGAGTGACAGTAGGAGTGAGTCACTGAGTCCATCCGTGCACGCTTTAAAATGACTTTATTGCCCCTCAATAACTCCTAATTTTGATTTAATTAAGTTTTATCCTTAAAATAAACAGACACAAAAGACGAATACGAAGAACATGAGGAAAAGGGGGAGCAGGAATTGAAATCAGGCCAACAACTTCACTCTCACCGCCGTCACCGTCCAGGCAATCCGAACCGCAGTCAGATCTCTATCGGGACACCCCCAGCATTCATCGCCAATAACGAAAAGGAACGAATCTGGCCTTTGGCTATTCCGATTCTCGCCGCAACAAGGAGCCTTCATCTCCGCCACCACCATTATAAATCCTACCCCCCCGCCTTCCTCTCTCCCCATGCCCATATCTCCCACTCTACCATCCCTCTCTCTTTCTCTCTCACTCTACTCATGAAATTCCCATTTCTAACCCTTCTTCTTCCCTCCTCAATCTCTCCTTATAGCACCTACCCACCACCGTCTTATTGTTTATGGAGATTCCCTTTGCAATTCGGGGAAAAACGGAAGAACTCATCTCTGACGAGAAAGCCGAAAATGGATATGAGATGGGTATTGCCGCACTTTGATGAAGACAATTAGCAATACCTTGCTCCGACGAAGACGCTGAATTGAGCTAGAGCAACAATGAAAAGGTCAGTTCGTCTCGTCTTCAGCATTCTCATATTCGTTCTCTTCGCCGCCACTCTCAGCTTCCGAATCCTAGTGCGCCGGACCTTATTCGCCTCAATTGAGCTTCATCGGCACAATGTAATACTACCCCGCCATGTAACCGCCCCTATTTTCAACTCCATCATGGGGGTAAAGAGGAAGAAGAAACGTATGTTGTTAAAGAGACGCCCTAGGTTTTGATTATTAATTAAATTTGTTTAGAGATAAAAAAAATAAATCAAAATTAGGAGTTAGTGAGGGGCAATAAGGTCATTTTACAGCCCATTTAACTGTCTTTTAACAGAAAATTGGATGGAAGGGTACAATCGTTACATTCTAATATTAGAAGGATATATTCGTGCAATAAATTAATAGAGGGGTATGTTTGTTAATCGGCAAAAGTAAAGGGGTACAAAGTGCTATTAACCCTAATTGGAATAAGAATATGACTTTCTCACCCAAACTAAGTTAAGTTTTAAAAATTAGTTTTCAATCTTAATCCATGAGAGGAAGGAAAGGAATGGTCAAAGAAGGAAAGCAACCAGAAAGTGGAGGGAGAAATCCGGGCTGGTGACCTGCGACTCAATTGGGCCCCGGGACTAGATAGTGTGACAACACCCCTTGTGTTGTTATTGTAACGACACTAGCCTCCAACCAATAGGAATCTAGGATTGTGATGACTTTTTATTAGATGAGTTGACATAGTGTAAAATCAAAGCAGGGGTATAATTGTCATTATGAAAAATATGTTTAAATAATAATAATAAAATAAAAAAAATATTTTTTTTATTTTCTGCCCAAATTTTTGGTCGCCGGTCACCGGAATATGTTTTTTTGTCACCGGAATATGCTCACCGTCGCCGGAATATGCTTACCGGCGTCGGAATATGCTTACCGGCATCGGAATCTTGTCACCGGGGCCGGAATATGCTTATCGGCGCCGGAATCCGGTCACTGACGGTCATCGGAATTTGGTCAACGGTCAACGACCACCGGATGTTATGGTCTGCATTGTGAGATTTATGGTTTGGTTTCTCATATTTTTGTATGCCTTTTGTGGTTTGCTTTATCGTGTTTGTGGTTTGCATTAAGAAGTTTCTGGTTTGCTTTATCGTGTTTGTGGTTTGCATTGAGAAGTTTCTGGTTTGCTTTCAAAAATTTTGTGGTTTGCATTGAGGGGTTTCTGGTTTGTTTTAATATATTTGTGGTCTGCATTAGGACGTTTATGGTTTGTTTTCAAAAATTTTGTGGTTTGCATTGTGAGGTTTTAGGTTTATTTTAATATATTTGTGGTTTGCATTAGAAGGTTTCTGGTTTGTTTTTTGTGGTTTGCTTTTCCGTGTTTGTGGTTTGCATTAGGGTGTTTTTGGTGTGCTTTTCAAAATATTTATGGTTTGCTTTGTGAGATTTCTGGTTTGTTTTAGGAGGCTTGTGGTTTGCTTTAGAAGGTTTCTGGGATGCTTTTATGTGGTTTGTTTTATCGCATTTGTGGTTTGCATTAGGAGGTTTTTTGTGTGTTTTAGAAATAGTTGTGGTTTGCTTTATGGTGTTTCTAGTATGTTTTACGCAATTTGTGGTATATATCAGGAGATTTCTAGTATGCTTTAAAAATAAATTATAGTATGTTTTGTGATATTTCTATTATGTTTTGAAAGATTAGTGGTTTGTATTATGAGATAATCTAATGGAACACGTGACAACAATTAACACAAAACATCATATCAATTTTCCACATAATCGCAATCTTACAACACCACTTGGGAGCACCCACCTCTTTCTCCTCATCAACATCCAACAAACACCACCAACTCAACCTCCAGCAGCCCTTCACCCAAATCTTGACGGAAGTAGACAAGCTCGCCACCACCTTCACCCATATCCTGTGAATTGAGCTTCACGAGAGGGTTTTCCAGCAAGGAGAGGATTCCTTCTACACAGTCATTTTCCCCCAGCACCTTGAGGACGAATCACCGACGGGTGAAGTAGTAGAAGATGCAAGCGTGGTGCGGGAGATGTTCATCATTGCCAAATCCGGTTTCCACAGCGCTGCCACTCTCCTCCCTTGCCTAAATTAAAAATCAATCAGACTATCAGAAACATCAATTGGTTCCGGCGTCCTTCAGCTCCTCCTCGCTACCCTGCACCCCGTCGACGATGGGTCAACCTTCTCAGGGTCCAAAAGCCCTCTCTGCATATACTTCTTAATCTGCTTGGCTCGCTTTTTCTTGTGACTACAGTATCACAGAATGGAACCCAGTAACAAATATGAAATAATTGACATTACAAAATACAACAAAAAAAACAATTTCCTCTTAGGCTGAGAAGGTTCAATTCAAGTACCTGCTGAGTTCTAGTTTATCTTTGTAGCACCACAAAACAGTTGGCCTGGCCTTCACCACTGCCTTGCTCAGCATGTAATGCAGGTTATCTACAAGTAAGAACACAAATCCACCAACTTTCAGCTCCTCGAGTACATAAATTAACGCCTACCTTTAAGAGAGGAAAGATCTGCTTGCCTGTCCCGCGATTTGTCTCCGATTATGACGAACAGGGAACGGTGCCTCAATTTCACGCCATTATCGATTAGGGTTCTTATTCGTTCGTCCACCTCCCAGTCACTCCTCATGAGCACGTAATCGTGTCACAGGGCGAGGGTGAACCCGGCGGCGGCGTGGCCCTGGACGACGGCGACGGTTCCGGGATTTGGCTTGGCGAAGAGAAAAGGAGACGGTGGCGATTACGGCCGGGCTGAGACGGTGGTCGTCCTTGTCGTCGGGTTGAGCGGCGATGAACTCGTGGTGCCGCCGTCACTGCAATTGTTGGGAAGAAGGGAGAGGTCTGGCATAATTGGGAGAGAAGCGCAGATTGGGGAAGCAGGGTTAATTCGTTGCTTTTTTTTGTTTCAAAATTAATTTTTTTATTTTGTCAATTTACTCTTTTATCCTTGTTGTTACTATAACAACATTATGGCTGTTGTTATGCTATCCGACCCCTTGGGCCCCATAATTCCACAAAACTATTGGGCCTCAGCCCATCTTCTCATACATATTTTCTTCCTGCTATAAACTGATCGAGGCGGGTTCGGGTGACACATGGAAATCACGCCCGCAGCTGATTGTTTCTCTCTTAGTTACACCAACCAATCCCACCGGTCGGCCCGTTTAACACCTGCAGCACTATTCAAATATCCTTTTTGGCGACTACAAGATTCTGGACTTTTTAACTTTCTAGTTCATTTTTTCACTAACTGGGCGACACATTCGAAGTTGCGCTCTTGTTCACTTCGTTCGTTCCATCCGCCACCCGCCGTATTCCTGTGCTTCCGGCCGCCGGAATCGCGCCGCTCTACATTCGCCGGCCATGTCTTCACAGTCGCTTCATTTCTTCACTCCTTCCTCAACTGCCTGCCCGAACATCACCTTCCCCAAGCCTTCACTTCCGGCTCCCAACCGCCGCCTGGCGTTTGCTTCCTCTCCCAGGACATTTTCGATTAGAGCCGTTTCGGAGTCTTCAGATCCCAATCCGGCACCGCCGCAAGTCGTTGTTTCCGATAATGGAGCGGGAAGTAGGGTTGTGGCGGCGGATTCCAGCTCAATCGAGGTGGATAAGGTCACGGAGGCGGAATTGAAGGAGAATGGGTTCAGGAGCAGCAGGAGGACGAAGCTGGTGTGCACGATCGGGCCGGCTACGTGCGGTTCCGAGCAGCTGGAGGCGTTGGCCGTGGGTGGAATGAACGTGGCGAGGATCAATATGTGCCACGGCACCAGGGAGTGGCATAAGCGGGTGATTGAGCGCGTTCGGAGGTTGAACGAAGTGAAGGGATACGCGGTTGCGATTATGATGGACACTGAAGGGAGTGAGATTCACATGGGGGATCTCGGCGGTGCTCCATCCGCCAAAGCTGAGGTAAACAGCATTGTCGTATCAATCCGCCTTTTTTTTTTTTTTAACAACATTTGGTTTCAAGGATTCGTAGTAGTTCACATTATTGTGAAAAATGGAATGTAATGTGCGGCTATGATTTGTGTAGGACGGTGAAGTATGGACATTCAGCGTAAGAGCCTATGATGCGAATCGCCCAGAGCGAACCATAACTGTAAATTATGATGGTTTCGCTGAAGGTTAGCGAGTACTTCGGTTAGGAATATAAATGATGTTGTTCTTTTCTCTTTAATTTTCTGGTTTCATGCTGGAACTCAAAAGATCGATTTTAAACTAGTATTCTCAATGTGGTGCAGATGTGAAAGTTGGGGATGAGCTACTTGTGGATGGTGGAATGGTTCGGTTTGAGGTGATTGAAAAATTTGGTCCTGATGTCAAATGTATGTGCACTGATCCCGGGTTGTTGCTGCCCCGGGCTAACTTGACTTTCTGGAGGGATGGAAGTTTGGTACGAGAACGTAACGCAATGCTTCCTACGATTTCCTCCAAGGTCGGTACCTCTCACCTGTATAATGGCAATGGGGGATTTTGGAATGTGCAATTCAATTAGTTGTCTTAAGTTACTCAATCCAGTTGGAGACCGTACGCATTGTTGTTTTTTCCCAAACATTATTGTGCTTTTGTGCTCATGCAAAGATATTTCCGCTTTCAGGACTGGTTGGACATTGATTTTGGACTTGCAGAGTCTGTTGATTTCATTGCAGTATCATTTGTGAAGTCAGCTGAAGTGATAAACCATCTTAAGAGCTACATAGCTGCACGCTCTCGTGATAAGTAAGTACCTCAAACCAATATATGTGTACTATCTGAATCCCTATTACTGATCCTATATTTTATGAATAGCTATTCACCATCTTGTCACAACTGCTTTGGCCTTTATTTCTTGTCTTGCTTTTGGAAGAAAAGTTTAAATTTGGAAGGTGTCCTGTTGGTGTTAGAAGCCTAAGGAGAAGGAATGGTCATGAGAAAACATGTTAGTTCTTCCATCCAGGTTGCCATTAATTGCCTTCTCTTTTCGGTTTCTTATTGTCTTGACATTTGGTTATTTTCTCTTCGAAGAAGAAATATGAGCCATACCAAAATCTCCCAACTATAAACCAAATCTTTTCCTCTTCTCATCTTCACTGACTAAAAAATTAGTGCATAATCTTTTTTCCTTGGTCTCGAATCTCTTAGTTGTGGCTCACATAGTGAAATTAGATTACAGGTTCAAAAGCATTACATATAACCTAACTCAGGCTAAATGCACCACAAGGTGC